TGTTTGTTGTGTTCGATTTTACCAGCTGACTAATCATGTCAGAACCGACGGACCACACCACACTTTCTCAATCTAATCCAGAAGCCACGGTATTGACGAATAGTCAAACGGAGAATACATCTTCCGTGTCGGAGCAGACCGTAGCCGATCACAGTGAAGTGAAAACACAGCTATCGACCTCATCGATGGCGCAAATGGAAACAACTCACGAAGTACGGAACACTATTACGACAGTCACCGCAGAGGAGACAAAACAACGTCATGGAGAAGATTTGGAGTGTGTAGAATTAGTACATCCAGATGGAACTATTTCGGCCGTTTCGGCACATCCACCAACTGTTGTGGCTGAGAACAATGCCAACAACAAAGACAACACTTCACCAAATGTGAACGAAGCGCCCCATACACAGCCAGCAGAACCACATCCGGATACCGGGTCCCACATAGATCCTGCTCCGACGGGATCTGCACCAACCGATTCAGAACCACATGTGAAAACCAATATACCAACCGAGAATGTTCCTGTTACGACAGATGCCAAGACACCCAGTTCACACGAGATCAGTGGGACTCCTGCTGAGATAACACAGAAATCATGTACACCACCGCAATCACCCAAAGGTGATGCAGTGCCTCAAACACTGCCGACAGCAGCAACGACAACACAGGAAGTAGAATCAAACGCAGAAGTGCAAATTTATCGAGAAGATTTGGATGTAATCGAAACTACAGATGCAGACGGGATTGTTAGTGCTGTATCGGCACATCCACCGTCCGCTCCCCCTGAAAACGCACCTGTGGATCAGACCAGATTAGAATCCGACAAACCACTTGCGATTGTCGTTTCTGAAAAAAGCCCTGACCATTCGGATATTCATGCAGTTTCCACCACAGAACAAATCGGAAATACTGGTGAACATCACTTACCTGATTCAGAGACTGATGATAAACATCTGGATGTCGAAATACCACCGGACATCACTGAGGCTATCATGCACGTACCAAATCCGTGTACTGAAGTACCTGAACCGGTTGAAACACCACGTGCATCGAGATCTAAAGTGAGTGAAAGCCGAGGAGGTGAAAATGGACCGGAGCTTAATATGGCTCATCTTGTTGATGCTGTGGACATTCGGGAAGCCACTGTGGAAGATATTCCGCCTTTGAAACCGGTTACACCAGAGACAACGCATCATGTGGACCGACCGAAGAGACCTCCTCCGCCGGCCATCATGACAACTGCTTGTGGAGTTACCTCGAATGGAACTGCTCCAAAGAAGGCCCATGCCGGTTTTCATTTTCGTCTTGGTGGATCCAAATCACGAGACAATTCCGGATCAAGAGAAGGTTCATTGGATAGACAAAATCGACGGTCACTGGGAGCAAGCATGCGAAATGCGTTTGGAACACTGACTCGCAGCATAAAGAAGAAACAGAGTGAGCTTCAGGAGAAACGGAAGGCAGCACATACGTTCAACGGCCATCATGATAAGCCGTCTCCTGCTCCACCGGGTGAACGGATTCACGTCACTTTACGATCCCCTTCGAACGAGCAAAACGATCAGGAAGAGCAGTCACTGCAATCCGTGTCCGGGGTTTGTTTGTCTCATGAATCGGTAAGTATTCGGGAATGGAATAAAACTCCGATTTCCTACAAATTTGTGATTCACTACGTTTACATTAATAAACATATAGTAGGTTGGGGCTTGGGTTCAGTTCTCAATCAATCGTCATTCGCGAAAAAACGGTGCTTTAACTACAACGTTACTTGATCCGAAATAATGTATCAGGCATTTTTTTATTATGCAAGTTCGGCTTGTGTCTACCCTGTGTGGTAAAGATCTGGGTCGTGTAGTTGATTGATAAATGGTAGTTGCATAGTTATTGGAAAACAAAACATAGAGTACGCAAGAATAAAACCTGTTCAAACTAGCTCACACATCGTCTATTACCCTAAGAAGGCAGCACATGAGGCGGTGCAATTAGTCCTTTTGTGTAAACTTCAAAACAAAGGTGATTAGGTTCATTGATCTTTGGTAATGCAACCGAAGTCGATTAATTTGTGACCACAACTCACGTGACTGGTGGACTCGAGTAAAAGAGATAAAGACACCTCTTTTTAAATACCTGCGCATAAATGTTTAATCTTCTCTCCGAAATGTTTGTGACGTTTTAGATCTCGAATGGAACAGCAGATTATTTCAATTGGTTTAAATCACTTAAATCAACAGTCAGCAATAGCCTCTGTCTGTTTAAACCTATTGATCAACCTCATGTTTAAACAATCTTGTTCCGTTTTAAGAGTTCTAAATGTGTGAACCGAATCAGCAAAGCCCTGCCCTCACCTCCGATTTTTCATCCCTACCTCGTACTCACTCAGTTCTGCTGTGCATGTAACTAACAGCCACTGATAGATACGTATTCACTCTACATCCACTGCATTCTTCTTTAACCCATGCACAAAAAGCTACCTCGGTCTATGTGATAAATACACGTGCGTTAATTCAATCACGATTGCAAGCTTTTTGGAGATCAAACTAACAGAAATGAAAATAACCCCAAAGTTCAGCTAGATTGAAGTGCCTTCAAATGTTTACGTTTGTGTAAAAAAACCTTGTAATAAATAATTCGAATTAATTAACTCAACCTATTGGTGACTGTGATACCGTATCTAAATAAACGTCTTGATGCGACTTGCCGATCAAGACGCTTATTTGAAAGCATTTATAAGCAAAATCGATCGATCCGTACATGTTCAGACTAGTGTTCTCTATCAATGTGAAGTAGAACCGGAGTGAAAAATCGATTGCACAGTTTTGTTTGCTAGGCCTTAGCATTCCATGTTTAACATATTTGGACTGGGTTAAAAATGACACATCTCAATATAGATTTACTAGATAGATTGAAAGGTTTCTCTGTCTATCAGTTGTCAATTATTCCGTTTGTAAAATATAAGTTTGTTCAATTAGGTTCCATTGGATTTTGTTTTGTCTACTTCTATCAAGTGTTCTTGAACAATTAAAATTGAATGAACAAATATAGCTACTGGAACCAATTTGAGCAAGCTTATCAATGGTCTCCATCATATTGCTGACTCGTTATAGAGATTGTCAGAGGCAGTTAGTTATTATACACCTTGGGATCATATGACAAACAAACGGTGCACATCAATAAGATTAATCCGTTTTTGGTTTTCTGTTTCATTGAGGAGATTACTCATCAAATAGACTGCAGGACGGTCGGCGTAAAATCGGTTTTGTAACATTGATCATGATTAAGTATTATCTGAAATGGCAACTGACATTTTATTGACTTGACTGCAAATGTTAGTATTGAAATCTGTAAAATGTGAAAACCCTATTCAGATCAATTTCACTCATAATCAGCGTAGAAGCTGGACACTTGTTTTTTTCGACACGAAATAATTTCATATGAAATTGTTTCTTGCTTTTATTTTATTCTCAAAGGACTATCTCATTCCCAAGTATTGATATATTGTGAGGCATGTTGGCATGAGCACGAATCTCAGAGACCCAAGTTGTTTAGTACTCTGTTGTCTAGTTTGAACCTTGCTCTGTGGGATTATTTCGACAACTGGTATTGTTCTCAATCCAGTTGAATTTACTTGAATCAGGAGGCGAATTCTGATCGCGAATTTTGTGTGAAATAAGCGACTCCGGGGGAATAGACTTGTATCCACTTATGTGTGCAATGGTAACATTGATACAAGTAAACATAACTATTCAGACTATGAGTCTAATGATCGATGAAGAGGATGTCAAAAATTAAATTGGCTCCAAATTAATGGCTTGAAGGTCCGATACAATGCAACGGATGTGCGCGATCAGACAGAATTGAATTGGGTTAATGAATTGAGAAAAAAACATGCGGGATATAAAACTTTAGATATCGCGCTTGTTGGACTAGGCTATGATTGTGTTCATCACTGGGTATTATTGTCACCTTTGTTTGGTACTGTTTAGTCCACATAGAATGCAATCGTGAAGCTGATAAACTATCCGCTCGCGAACACAACTTCCCGTATGATGATATTTCAAAATATGTGCGATCCTTAAACGGGATACTGATAGAAACCAATCTAAATGAGATCGGAAGTTACGTGTGGACGTATTTCAACCATTTATTAAAACGAGAGTATTTATGAGTCAGACGTGAAACATACTTTCCTCGTGGAACTGAGGTGGAATGACTGTACCTCTGGATGCGGCTGTTGATTTTTGCAGTCTGGCAACAACACTTCCAGCTTGGAGAACTCACTAACACCAACATGCGTCCATTCTACAACTTCCTGAGGTTGCTGATAGAGTTTGTGAATGGTTATCCTTGTTCTTTTCCGGAGAATTTAGGCCGACAGAATTCATGATAAAATTTCCGAAAATGTCAGAAAATGAAATGGAAAATTAACCGGTGCGATTCCCCGTGTGTTCCAGATCACTTTGAGTGAACCGTTTCTATTTCACGTTTTCGCGTTTTTGTGCAAGGGAATCAGTGGTAATAGTGGAGGGAGGGTGTAGAAATGGCATAACACAGCACGTGTTTAGTCACCAGCGTGTGTCCCCTTAATAGTACAATTGTAATCGGTTTTCAATTGGCGATCACACATATTTGTTTACTATATTTGAGCTTGTTTGATATCACTATGACACCGTGACATTCAATGACACAACCACAATTTATCAGCTTTTCTTATTCACTTATGCATCCGCGCGTAGTATCCACCCACCGCGCAATAGAACAAATCACGTGTGCTTTCAAGCAATTTACAGATAATTAAAGCAAAAGATCGTTAGACCAGGTTATGCTTAGCCGAGAAAAGTGAAATGAAGATCGGGGAATAAAGCCAAAGTAAGTCAATTTGTTTCCATTCCCTTGTCCGGCAACATGTATGACTGGTTTGAATTAGAAACAGTGAGATTGCTGAGTTACTCGTAGCCCTTTAATCAGTTACTTATCCGATAATATTGAGTGTTGGATTCACAGATATTTCAGTTTGAGCTAATACCGAAGCGAAACATGACGATTCTTTATGTTTGCTGTTATTTCGATAATTCTATTTGCTTGTACAAGAAACTGTTTGAACAGCTGCCAGGTGACCAAGTGGGTAACATGGTTGCATTCTGCCTGTGAGATCCCGGGTTCGATCCAGAGCAGGGTCTACGGATTCGCTCTTCTGATGAAACCGAACCAGGTTCAAACGGAAATTCAGTGTTTCACCATACACACCTCATTTGCGCAACGAATGCCTCACATAAATTCAATTTTCGTCAATAACACAGGCAAACGTGTTAATGTAGATTATATCATCACTGTATCTTTTAGCTCAATTATGCAGGTGTTAGTAATCTGAGAAAACAATGTGATCGAATTTTAAAACGATAATTAGAGAATATATTGTTATTCCGTAGGTAATCGCATTTTGCAATCTTCAAATCCTTTTACGTGAACTACAAATGGAATAGGTAGTGGAGAAGACATTTTTGTCTGCATTTTCTATTTGTTGCATTTAATGCCTCATTTGTTTAGCGCCTCATACCGTCAGTCCTTAAACCTTAAACCTTTGCGGGTTAAATTCTGATTGAAAGTTCAAATTCGTTGACGGATTCAAAAACTCAATTACCATGGGTTCTGCGTAAAAAGTTTTACAAATTATCCTCGGTCAACCAGAATGGACAAATTGCCATTTGGTGGGTTGCACCTTGTGTCGTAAAATGAAAGACGGACTTGAATTGGTGAATTCCACCGAAACTGATACACATAAATTGATGGGTTTGACCTATGCAATATCATGCATCAGCAATCAATTTGTCATACAATTTGAAAAGTTCATCTATAGAATCAGCTGACCTATCCCCTTCCCATTGCTCTTTTCTTATGTTACGTGATGATTGATTGAACAAGGAAAACACGACTTTTCGCAAGAATTCGACATTTTCTGAACTAGAAATATTTGGCGAATTGTTCATTCACTTTTCAAATGAAGGTATCCTATATCATGGTGTTCCGTTAAGGTATATCCGGAACGTACACGTAAAGTGTTCCGGTGCCTCAGGAATGGATTGTGAAGGAACATAATCACTCTTCACTAGCTCAGATGTTCAGATGCACCTTGCCACCGGCAAATGTTAATTTTAAATCTTCAACACGGAATCCAACTCCTAAGGTATTAATTACAACGCATTCACACACGGGATGCTGGACTTGATAACTTCCGAAAAACGAAATAATGATCGTGTTATACGTAAGCAAATCCCAATCGCAATATTTACCAGAACATTGATCGCTAGAAAATAGTTGGAAGATGTGCCTATTCGCGTTTGACAATAGTCTGATACGCGTCGAATGCCCGGTAATTTATTGGGGATGATTTTCAACGGAAACTTGATCGTCATTGATGGATTGGAAACAAATATCAAGCTGGAAAGAACCAAAATGCTCCATGCAACAATGGTTAGCCGGTCGATTGGTTCACATCTAGATCGAATAGACAAAAGCAGTGTGTGGGTAATTGCATAAAGAAAGAGTAGGAAAAAAACGCACGGAAGTACACATTATTTTCTTATCCCATTTGTTCTAGCTCAATTATCGATCACGTCCGGACCGGAAAAAGTCCATTGATCAGGACGTTCAAAACTGTAGAGGCACACATACCGTATGGTATTGAACGTCTTGCGCGCATTTCCGTCTTGTGAACCAGTGACAGGGACAGTGATCAATCTTTAGAATTGTGAACACGCGGAGAGGTGGGGATGTA